GGGTCAAAACAGCGGATGCCCGAGACCCGCTGGTTTCGGGCCAGAGGGCCGTCAGAAGTCGATCCAGGATGGGGAATCTCCTTCCCAGGGGAGGGGTCGGTCCAGGATGGGACATGGCTTCTGCGGCCCGCAGATTTCAGGAGCACAAGCCCGCAGTGCATTCTTCTGGTTGGAGTGCCCTCGCGATCCGCGAAGCGAATGTAAAGAGGGAGGAGAGGGAGGGAGATGAGAGAGAGCGAGGACGAGTAGGGAGAGACCCCCCAGTGAATCAGCCTTGCTGCAGCGCCTGAGGAGAAGTGCAAGGCAGATTCCTCCACGGTCAAGGTGTACATTCACTTGGACGGCCTTGCGGAGTGGGCTAAGGATGCCGAGTCTACCGAGGAGTTCGAGCAAGCGAGGCTGGGTATCACGTACGAGGACCAGTATTCAAGGGAGGATAGCACAAAGACGCGCGTCTACCGGATCGAAGTCACCCGCCCTCACGGCACGGATGTTGGAAACATTTTTGCGAACCGGTCGCAGCATTGTTGTCAGGTGTTTGCCGCGGGGGTGCATTGTACGGTGTCAGTTGTTTGCGTTTTGATTGTGATTGCTGCAGTTGCTGCTGCCGTAGTCGCGTCAGTCAGACCCGACGTCTTTGAAGGTGTATTACCGCAAGGTGTTTTACCGCAGAGTGTCCAGCTCGCTCTACTCGCGATCTGTGTTTTCATTATAGCAGCATGCATGTTGAGTAGCTGCCGCAAAGACGTCCGAGACACTGTGCCGAGCGCACGTTCAGCTTGTTGCGATTGCTCTTCGAATGCCGAGCAGTCCAGACCACTCCTTTGCGGTTCTTCGACGGTTGAGTCTCCTGAAGACGAAGACAGCATTGTATAATTTCCCGGCTATCTGTCGTCTGGCCAATGTGCTTGGATCGTACAGAATTTTGTTGTGGACCGTGGGTGACAGAGTCCCGGTGCCACCATCGCGCCCCTGCTGCTGGAAGTATTTCATGAAACAACCGGCGGTGAACGAGGGTTTTCGAGATGTTAGTTTGCACGGGCTTTCGCCGTGAATGGCAGCGCACCTGCTCGTCGCCGCGAGGCGCCAGCGGCATCGCCGACACTTCCTTGAGCCGTTGTGGTGCTCCTGGCGCACTTCGCGGGTCGACGCAGTCAGGTCCTTCTGTGAGGACGTCCTCTCCCGACCGTCAGTCCACTGCTGCCCCAACTCGGCTAAACAAAAGGTCCCGATAATGATGCGTTCCAGGATTTCCAGGCCATAGTAGGTTTCTTCATGCTCCACACGGGCTACATAAACGGAATTCCTGGGACGTAGGCCAACGGCATCTTGACATCGGCTGCGTTCTACCAACCTCGCTACCCTACCCTCCTTCCGCCCACTCATCCGCCCGCCCCCCCTCCCCTCTCTCCATACTCGCTCACGCCATTCCCCCACGCCCATTCCCCTAGCGCTTTCCCTTACACTCGGCTTCTCGTCCCCCCTCTGCCCCACTTGCGCCTTGGGCCGTTCCTTCCACGCTAGAGGGGCAGTCGGAAGGGGTCACCTTTGGCAGAGTGCCTTTGTTGTTCTGGTTAATATCGAATGGCTGTCGGCCCCAAGAGTCATTATGTCTGGTTCGTCTACAAGAGGCATTTGTGCGCCTCTTGGTGTTCATTGGAATATTTTGGGAGCATCTCGGGAGGTGGGTGTTTTTGAGGCCGCTTGGAGGCCTTCTTTGGAGCTCTTGGGGGCCTGGGGAGCGGAATTGTTGTTCCTCCCCGTCGTTTCTTTGTACGGCACAGGTTCATTAGGCTGGCCATGCCTAAATCTTTCGGTTGGACGTGAGGCACATGTTCGGGGCCTCTCTGAACCCCTCCCCGGTCCTTTACACAGATTCAGGATTCGTCGCAGAAGTCGGACAGGGAGAAAGAGAGGGCGTCGCAGGAGTCGAATGTATCGTCGCATGCTCCTTGATGTCTTCATGGGTGTGCTGTGCCTTGCCCTCTTCCGTTGTGTTTCGGCCGGTCCTCTCGACTGAAGCTGTGCTAATGCCAATTCGTCGCTGGAGGCACTACTAATTATAATTTGCATGCCGCTCAGTTCGCATCACATTCATCGCGAGGATTTCGTGACGCAGCGATACTCACAAGGTTTTTGGCACACGAAACGTATGGACTGTTGACCTTGCTCGTGGCTGGCTGTGCGCTCAACTGAACAAAAGCCATCGATCGCATCCCGAGCGTCATGCTCCAGCGGGTGCTAAACCCAGCACGCAGACGGCACAACATTTATCCTCCAACAGTGGGAGCAATGACCGTATTTGGGAGGAGGAGGAGCCCTGTCAGGCTCTCTCGCTCTATCTCTCTCTCTCGCAGTCTCCCTCTCTCGGGGCGCCCTCCTCCCCTTGAGCATCCAGACCGAGCGGGCCGGTCTAAGAACGCGGTTTGATCGAGCGCAAGTGATACATTTTCATCAGGTGTCCTCGAGTTCGAGAGGTCAGCACGAAGCGACGTGGCCAGCCAGGGAGGAGGAGGAGGAGGAGGACAGCGAGGATCAGAAGGACTTGGCTTATCATCGTGATTTGGCATCGTGTATAGTCCGACGCTTCGACTGCAATCCGCAGGGGTTCGGTGAGGGGAGGGGGCATTGGCGATGCCGTGTGGACTTGCTGGACCTCAGGCTTTGAGACATGAACAGCGATGCGGAGGGGGGGATGAAGAGGAACATGAAGCCGAAAGGGCTACTGATTGGGATTGGGAGGAGGGAGAAAAGGAAACATAGGAGGACGACCAGGGTGAGGACCGGGGGGGAGCGAGGAGAAGTAGGAGGGCAGCAGCGTGCAACAGGACCACCTGCTGACCATGCGATGCTGTGAGTACTTCGAAGAAGTACGAATGATGATGATGATGATGATGATGATGATGATGATGGTGGTGATGATGATGAAGAATATTATGATGATGATGATGATGCTGATGCTGATGCTGATGCTGATGCTGATGCTGATGCTGATGGTGATGGTGATGGTGGTGGTGGTGATGGGGGTTATGGCGATGGTGATGGTGATTGTGGTGTTGATGATGTTGTTGATGATGATGATGCTGATGATTGTGATAATGACGCTGGTGATTATGATGATGGTGATGGTGATGATGTTGATGGTGATGATGTTGATGGTGATGGCGATGATGACGATCATGATGATATTGCCGATGATGATGGTGCGAATCATGATGCAGCTGATGACGATTAAGATGATGTCGATGGTCATGATGACGAACATGATGATAATGGCATGCTGACGATGCTGATGACGATATTGCTACTGCTGACGATGACGATTGTGCTTATGATGATGCGGCTGCTGATGATGATGATGTTGGTGCTGGGGCGTATGATGATTGTGATGCTGACGACGACATCGATGATGGTACCTACGATGACAATGACGATAATGATGATGATGCTGAAAATGATGATGATGATGATGATGATGATGATGTTGTCTGGTGGTGTTTGTGAGGATACTGATGATGCTGATGCTGATGATGATGTGGATGCTGATGCTGATCATGATGATGCTGTTGATGATGCTGTTGTTGATGATGATGATGATGATGACGATGATGATGATGCTGATGATGATGATAGTGATGATGATGACGATGATGATGGTAATGGTGAGAATGATGATTATTGAATGAGCGATGATGGGGTGTGGCAGGGGGGTGGGAAAAGGGTGGTTCATGGATTATGGAGAGGGAAGGGCGAGGGTCGAAGCAGAGGGATGGGATTGAGGGAGAGGGGAGGACGAGTGACCAAGACAGTAAAGAGAAACTGACTTCTGGCGTGCAGGATGGAGGAGAGGCGAGGTGACGACAGGAGGTAGGAACAGGAGCATGAACAGATGCAGGAGTGGGATCACGAAGAGGATGACGATGGGGGGGGGAGGTGGATGCGGAGAATGGTGGAGAATGATGGTGAGGAGGAGGAGGAGGAGGAGGAGTCATATTGGACAAAGGAGGAAGAGGAGGGCGCGAGGACCATCAAGCTTGAAGGAGAGGGATCAACCTGGATGAGGAGGCGCAGCAGCAGGAGGCGAGGCCAGGCAGGAATGGAGCAGGAGGAGGAGAGGAGGAGGAGAGGGAGGATGACCGGAGGAGCAAGGGGAGGGAGCAACAATTGATGGAGCGCAAGTGTGGGGAAGCAGTCGTGGCAGCCTGCTCTGGGCGCCAGGCATGGCGATACCCCGCTCTTCTGCTCCTTCCGCTCCTCCTGCTCCCAGACATCCAACGTATTGAAGATAAAGGTGTCCGCGGCTCTGTGGGTTCGGCACAGCCGATTGCGCCTGGTCGGTTCGGTTCGGCGGGTTGTTGCGTCGTTGTTGCATCACGGCGTCCTGCTCAGCTCCGTTCGCTCGAGTCAGTCTTGGTTGGTTTCGGTCTTGCTGTCGTTTTCGGTGCTGGTGTCGTCGTGGGAGTGCTTCGACAAATTCACGGCGTACGTGTTTTTGGTTTACAGTTCTCTATTTCCGAAGGCCCTCTCTGGGCCCCGGCACCGTCAGAAACGACTCAAGACGAACAAATGCTCGTGGGGAAAAGGTTTCGGCCATTTCTGGGGACCCGCATTGAAGAAATCAAGGTATCGGATCTCTGGGTCCCGCTCCTCTTTCCAATTCATCCCTTGGTCGGACTGTTTTTTTTTGTTATGTCCCGGCGTTCTCCTTGACATGTGTGGGGGGAGCGGCGCGTTCGGGCCCGTAGGGGGGGGGGTCGAGTCTTCGGGGCTTGCGGATTGCAAAAACCAATCCATCCCATCCTCCCTGATTCAATCGCCGCATTCTTCGCATCTCACTCCTTTAGTGTCGCATGTCATATTGTGGCAAGTGTAGTGATGTAGTACGTAGTGAGGCAGTCAGCATGGTCAGGATTTCAGGAACTATCTATTACCTTCTATCCCCATCTCTTTATTTAGCCCCCCCTTCGTCCTTCCTCCCCCCCCTCCTCGAGGGTTCGTTCGTCCTTCCTTCTCATCCTCCTCCATTTTTTACTTGGCTCAAGTTTATTGAGCTTGGCAGCTCGCAGCCGAGCCGCGCGCCCGCGAGCGTTCCTCCTTGTCGTGAGGGGGCGGTTATCTCCGCACGCGCGGAGCCCGATGGAGCAATGATGCCCGCTGGCGCTCTTGCTCCTCTCATCGCGTTCGCGGTGGTGTTCCTCATGCTGTTCGATGTTGGCGTCTCGTCGTGTGTTGCAGCTGCGGTGGCCACTTCTTCTTCGCCTGCTGGCCACCAGTTGCCCTCGGCCGTCGGCCCTGTTGCCGGTCACCTGCTGCCCTCGGCCGTTGGCCTTCCGCCTGCACCTGCTGCTCCTCGTCGGCGAGGGGCCCGTTCTGCGAGGAAAGTTCGCAATCGACGAATGCGTGCATGCAGGCTGGTTTTTGTTCCTCATCCACCTGATCGACGGAAGCGAGACCTGCAACCAGCGACCGCCTCGCGAGGCTTCCTGGATTGCACGGGGGAGGGCGACGTCAAGATAAAGGCGCCCAGGCACACGTGCGTCCCGGACGACAAGGACGGTGACATGAATAGAATGCCATCGAAGACACCCTGAGCGCCCCATGGGACAAGAACATCACGAATGGCACCTTCGGGGTCGGCGTAGCGTGTTCGCGCGAGGTCCTTTCGCGCGCCAACGGCGAGAGCGACCTGGACACCTTCCTCCCGATGATCATGGAGCAGGTGGCAACCCTCGTCCAGCGGAGCGCGTCGCAGAGTGCCACAATCTGATGTCCGTGTTTGGAATGCGCGTATACGATATGGAGTCCGAGCAAGTACGGCGCTCACAAGCTGATGGTGATGGCCAAGGCAGCCTGAGTGGGTGCAGGCTGGGCCAGAAGAGTAAGCACGACGTCCTCAGCCAGATGAACAAAGAGCAGAAGAGTAGCATGGACAAGACCACCAAGCTCGTCGAGCAGACAGGCCTTATGAAGGAGTCCGCTTGTGTCACATTCGCGGACTTGGACATCCGGGACATCCGTGATGACTTATGGCGGGAGGATGCCCCACAGTTCAAGAACCAAACCATGGAGTGCATGAAGCTGTTGGTGGAGGCTTTTTCCTCGCTTAGCGCGTTTCCAAGTACGTCGAGAACCTCTTCACCTTCGCTGGCGGCCTCGTACTTCGACGACCTCGCTGCGAGCTTCCAGGACGAACAGTGCATCAACCAGTTCGCTAGTGTCTTGTACGACCGGGTCTTCGTCTCGGAGGGGCTGTCTCCCCTTTCATGTACAACCTCGCCGCCTTCTGCGGCGCCTCCAAGGACTCCGACCGCATGTTCTCCGCCGTCTACGGCGACCTTATATCTTGAGGACGGAGCGGCGGCGCCGAGCGGCCAAGGCTAGTGCGCATCGTCCCTCTCTGGGTACATGCGTATATTTTATCCTGGGGTCTCAGGATGACCCTGGAGGTCCCTGGATTCCCTCCAGATTCGAGAGGTCCCTGGAAGTCCCCACAGGCCTGTAGATGCCGCCCAAGGCCACAAATAAGCCATATACGCAGTCTAGACCTCGATCTTCGAAGCTTGATCCTGTTGTTGGCTGCAATCCGCTCCCCGGCTGAAGCCCCCACAACGTTATTGTAAAGGTAGAGCAGAGCGAAACGATGCTGCTCCGCCCACCTGCTGGCTGATGCCGTCTGATGGCTTCACCCCGGTCCTGAGGCTTCGAATGTTGATGATCATTGTCGCCTCTCCTCCTTCCGTGGCCGCCTCCTCTCCAGAGCACCCGCATCGCGCTATTGCGCTCGCATCTGAGCGCTCCAGGTCTGGCCCCCCTTGGAATCGACAGCTGCGCGTGCGGCGACGCTCCTTACAACGCGCGCGTTGATTTCCCAAGGGGGCGGCCGGTCGACCCGACGGCGCGTTTTCCTCCCCAGGACCAGTCCCGATTTCCAGCCCGCGTCCCCTGCCGTTTGGTTTTGATACACGTGTATATATATATATATATATATGTAGACGTATGGATATATTTGAGTATGTCTGACTATCTTTGAACGTTTCCCTATGTGGTTTGCTTGCGGGGTTTGTACTTCAGTAACGGTTGCTTCCTCATATTGTTACGTTGCACGTTTACTAGAGGCTTCTCGGGTTCCCCGGGTCCTTCGGGTTCGCCGCCGCTGGTTGCCACAGTCAATGCCAACCCATGCCAAGCAATGCCAACCGATGCCAAGCAATACTAAGCAATGCCAAGCAATGGAAACCGATGCCAAACAATGCCAGGTTACCCGCTATTGCAAATCATCTTTCGAGTGGCGCCCCGCTGGTCATTCACGCGGCGCGGCAGTACTTGCTTGGGCGGTTGCGTTGGGTCCCAACGGACGACCTTGAAACCGCGCACCCTGAGATTCGAGTTCGCCAAAACTCGGATTTGCCCACGCTCTTTGAGAGGCCACTCCTCAATGTTGACGGCTTGGTTTCGGTTGGATGTCTGCAGGGGGGGGCTCCCATCAAATCTGAGATTGGGTCTCGTCAGTTTTTTGACGGCCCCGATCGGCCAACCTAAGACCCCCGAGCCCGAGTCAAACGTATCCCCGAATGAACAGACAGGAGGAGGAAGAAAAGGAAGAGGAGAAATAAGTGGAATCATACATTATAGTTACAAGAAGGAGAATCAGAAGACGATGCATAATACGAGCAATACTGTGATAATATAGTGGTAGTCGTAGTTGTAATACTACAGTGGTAATGCGTACACGAATGCTTAGAGGAACCACTAGCAACATTCAGAAACGTCATAAGCATACGGACCATAAGAAGGGAGGAGTGAGCCCCGAACTTTCAAACGGCGTGGCCGCCGCGCCGTTCGGGGCCTCGAGGGAGACGGAGGGGAGGAGGAGGAGGAGGAGGAGGAGGAGGGAGGAGGAGGAGAGGAGCAGGAGGAGGAGCAGGAGGAGGAGGAGAGGAGGAGGAGGAGGAGGAGGGAGGAGGAGGAGGAGGAGGAGGAGGAGGAGGAGGAGGAGGAGGGGAGGAGGGGGAGGGGGAAGAGGGGCGGGAGGAGGAGCAGCCATTCCAGCGGAGCGGCGCCGCCCCAGGTACAACTACAGCAACTCGAAGCGGGCCCGCCGCTTCTTCTGGGTCTCCGACGACGGGCGCGCAGCCGCCCCGCACCTCCTGGCGCTCCTCGGCGGCTCCCCGGCGCTCCTCGGCGGCTCCTGGCGCTCCTCGGCGGCTCTTCGGCGGTCCCTCGGCGCTCCTCGGAAGCCCTCGGCGACCGCCGAGAGATCCCCCGGCGACCCTCGGCGGCCGTCGGAGGCCTCTGGCGGGGGAGCAGGTTCCCGCCTGGATCCCTGCGCCCCCGCGACGGCTCCCCTGAGCCTCCCGCTGCCCCTTTTGCGCTCCCGCTCTCTCTCGCTCTCGCTCGCTCTCGCTCGTCGCTCCGCGCCCAGGATATCTCAGGAGGGAAAATTATCCCAGCAAAGCAACCTAACAGCGATGTGTAGAAGCATATCTGAAAGCATTCCCCTTAAGATTCAGATGAAAATCCAGTTGTAGAATTCTGCTGTTCTCGCAGTCGTAGTCGCATTCGCGATGACAGTCGCAGCGGCAACGGCAGTCGCAGTCACAGCCTCAGCCTCAGCCTGCCTCAGCCTCAGCCTCAGCCTGCCTCAGCCTCAGCCTGCCTCAGCCTCAGCCTCAGCCTGCTTCAGCCTCAGCCTCAGTCTGCCTTCAGCCTCGGCCTCAGCCTCAGCCTGCCTCAGCCTCAGCCTGCATCAGCCTCAGCCTCAGCCTCAGCCTGCCTCAGCATCAGCCTGCCTCAGCCTCAGCCTCAGCCTGCCTCAGCCTCAGCCTCAGTCTGCTTCAGCCTCAGCCTCAGTCTGCCTTCAGCCTCGGCCTCAGCCTCAGCCTGCCTCAGCCTCAGCCTGCCTCGGTCGCAGCATCAGCCTGCCTCAGCATTCAAAATGTGGCCCAGGAGCGGAGTTCTGGGAACTAGAAGAACACGAAGTGGCCTACAGTTGGCTCCGGGCATTCAAAATGTGGCCCGGGAATGGAGTTCTGGGAAGTCGAAGAGAACGAAGTGGCCTACAGTTGGCTCCGGGCATCCAAGATGTGGCCCGGGAATGGAGTTCTGGGAAGTCGAAGAGAACGAAGTGGCCTACAGTTGGCTCCGGGCATCCAAAATGTGGCCCAGGAATGGAGTTCTGGGAAATCGAAGAGCACGAAGTGGCCTACAGTTGGCTCCGGGCATCCAGAAGTGGCCCGGGAATGGAGTTCTGGGAGGTCGAAGAGCACGAAGTGTGTGACTGTTAGCGAAAAGCGAGCCCGGCTCGGTTCCCGGTTCTCCAAAATGTGGCCCGGGAAAGGAGTTCTGGCTGGTCGAAGAGCACGAAGTGTGTGACTGTTGGCGAAAAACGATTCCCGGTTCTCCTCCCCGGCACCCGCCCAGACCCCCCTGAGGAGTCATCTGCTGCTCTCTTTTGACCCTACTAGAAGCCTATCAGCAAAAGCTGTTAGGTAAAAACACACAGACACAATTAATCGTCGATTCCCCAGAAAATATGGGAAAATATGGGAAGTGGGGGGGAAGACAAAAATCCAGAAAATATAGGAAAATATGGGGGATATTTTTATTTGTATGTCTTTATTTGTGTGTCCTGCATGGGGCCCCTTCAATATCGTTGGCCGCTGGCCAAGTGCTGCCAGAAGTGCCCCTGGCCCAAGGTGCCTCCAGGATTTCCATGGAGGCCCCGACGGCATCCAGGGCACCCCCCACCAGGCCCCGAGGGCCGATGGGCTCCAAGATTAAGCGAAGCGCTGCTGGGCACCTTGGGCCATGTTCACCTGTAGCAGCCCCCCGAGCTGGGGGTTGCCGGGGCCGCTGTTTTTCGGCGCGCTCCAAGGATTCGGCCGCGGCGGTTCGCATGAGTTCGCCTGCGGCACGTTGGTTTTCGTCGCGCTCCCTCTTCGCCCGGCGACCTTGTGGGTCGCATTGCGGCTGGGGCTGGCCGGTGCCAAGAGCCAGCAGAGCGTTCCAGGCCTCCCAGATGGGGCCGGCGTAGCCTTGTGCCGTTTGAAAGTTTTTGGACGTCTTCGTTGGTTCTTGTAACTCGTCCTGCTTCGGGATGCCCAGTAGCTGCGCCTTCCTCGAGAGTGTTCCGGGGTTGCCCCGAATCGCCCCGAACGGCCACAGCACAGTCGACCCGAGCCACGACGCAGAAGCCAGTCCTTCCGCAAGGCCTTTCATATCTTGGGCTAGGGTGCGTAGATGGTGTCGGAGGGTCGCGCCGCATCGCCGATGCAACAGCAATTCGGCGTGACCCGGCGGCCAATTTTCTCCATCACGACGTCTCAGATGCACCGCCGATGCATCGCCCAAGCGGATTCCCCAGTCCCATCAGGAGCCCTCCAGGCGTGGCCTTTAGGGATCTTCCAGTCCGTGGGAGGCACCCGCACCTGCACACCACCACCGTGTCTGGCCATGGCCATCCTGGAGCCCCGGCCGGGGCGGGGAGGGTCTGCACATCAACTTGCGGCCCAGAATGGCCCTGGCCAGGCACGCTGATGGTGTTGGAGCCTCCGGTGACCTCCCCAGGGATCCCCACGGGGTGCGTGCCCAGAGACTTCCAGGAGCATTCTTGAGCTTCTCGAAGAAGAAGAAACAACGCCATAAACATAAACTTTTGGCGCTCCGCGCGGATTTCTTGGATCCGCGTTGGGCACCCCCTGCGGCGCCTCCTGCGCCGCGGGTCCAGCGCAGCTCCAAGACATCCGCTCAGAGCGCCCACAGTTCATGTCCATGCATTTTTTTCCTCTAGCCCTATGCAGTTGATGCTTATGCAGTTTATGTTTTATGCAGTTGATGCTTATGTATGTGTGTGTGTGTTTATGCAGTTGTTTCTCTCTCTCTCTCTCTAGCTTCGGTGCCCTCCTCCAGACAGCCCTCAGGAGCTCTTCGGGGGGCGTCCCCCGAGCCTGCGGCCTCCCAGAGGGAGGGGACTCCTGCAGGGAGGGCGGGGGGGGCGCCGGAGGAGAGCGCGGCGTCGCCAAAGTTCATCTGCGGCCACGAGGGCCGCCCGCCCACTCGCACCCCGAACCTCAGGAGGGGAAACACACACAGACACAGACACACACACACACAGAGACACACGCACACACAATCGTCGACGTCCAGGGAAGATAGAACATTCTCGAGGTCTTGAGGGGGAGGAACGAAACTCCAGAACATGTGGAGAAGCCTGGGATGTGTGTCCATTCATCTTTGTGTGTGTGCTTGTGTGTGCGTGCGTGTCCCTGGGCCCCTTCAGGGTGGTGCGGCGCTGCCACCGCCTCGCGGCGACGAGCCCTCCCCCCTTGCCCCGAGAGTTTCGCTCCGCTGAGGGTTTCGTTCCTGCTTTGCTGTCTCGAACGCCCCAAAGCCTCACCGAAGATCGCAGGCGACTTGTCTCCCCTAATCCTCGACGCTTCGACGAAAAATGAAGCCGCTCAGTAAAGGAGGGAAACCTTAGGATACGCCCCACGGGGGCTATTCGGTCGCACCCGACGCCCCCCCCCTGTATATCCCATGGTTGGGCCTCAAATGGTTGGTCCAGTCGAAGACCACACGAAGACTGGGATAGGGGTCGGCATATCCCATGTTGGAAGAGGCTGTGTCTGGCGAGAGAGGGGGAGAAGTGAGAAGGAGAAGCTATTATCCGAAGGCGGCTGGACTGATCAGAAGCCCTTCGTTTCCCATGTCTTCGGG